AGGCTCCAGGGAGACCTGGCAGGGGACCGAACCACAGCCAGGGCTCCAGGCCCAGACGCCTCCTCCTGCTTCTGACCTGTGGGGCACGACTTCTGTCAGGGCACCCACCTCTCTTACTCATTTGTCATTTGCTCTAACCTCTGATCACTTTGCCCAGATGAGGGGCTTTCAGGGAACAAGGTATTCCTCCGGGGGGCTTTAGGGTCACATTGACGAAAACACAAAGTTTTGACCCTGCTGGTAGAGGTTGCCAGTGAAGGCTGTCCATCTGTCTGTCTGCCTCTGGGGAAGTGCTGGCGGTGCTGCATGACCTGTGGGTGCTAGGCGCCCCACTGCACGTGCAGAATCCAAGCAAAACTGGGGGCACCGCTTCCCAAGTCCCTCAACCCTGGGCCCCAGGCAGGGGCTTGGCTCAGGGTCAGCAGCTGAGCTGGGAAAAGTTCACCCAACTGGAGCCGGTGGCATCATGGTTACCCGTGGGGCTGCTCCCCTCCAGGTCGGTGGCTCAAAACCACCGGTCACTCCATGGGAACAAGGTGAAACTTTCCGCCCCTGTGAAGAGGCACAGTCTCAGAAACCCACAGGGACAGTTCTACCCGGTCCTGTAGAGCAGGCTCCTCAAACTTTATAAACGGGGCCAATTCACTGTCCCTCAGACCTGCTGGAGGGCCGGACTACAGTTTAAAACAAACTATGAACAAATTCCTATGCACACTGCACATTTCTTATTTTGAAGTGAAAAAACAAATGGGGCAAAAACACCCGGCGGGCTGGATAAATGTCCTCGGTGGGCCGCATGTGGCCCGCGGGCCATAGTTTGAGGACGCCCGCTGTAGGGTCATGGTGAGTCGGCACCCACTCGATGGCAGTGAGTTTGTTGATTGGAGAGGCCCTGTGCCCCCCGGCCTCCACCCCTGGCAGCACCCAGATAGCTGTGGTCTTGCGAAGCCGCTTGGCTTTGCTAAGCTCGGGGCTCCTCCCTGGTAATGCGGCATCCATCTCCAGGTTGAGAGGAGGTGAAGCAGGGGAGCACCCTGGAGGCACCTGGGTTCCCCCTGGGCAGCAAGGCCTGGATGCCTTGCACACTGGGGGCATTCCCTTGTACTCGGGAGACGTGGGGGCATCGGCCCAGGTACACATGACACATGTTGTGACTCCACCTCTTATGCTTACCTGAGATGTCCTTTGCATCGGAACAGGTGCGTGGTCTGGACCGGAGATGACCGGGTCTTCTTCTTCAACCCAACCATGCAGCTGTCCGTCTGGGAGAAGCCCCTGGACCTTAAGAACCGTGGTGACCTCACCAGGATCATCGAAGACCCTCCCCACAAGCGCAAACTGGAGGCTTCAGCACGTGAGTGGCCTGGGGGGGTCACCCCTTTGCTGAGGGGTCGCCGCTCCTGAGCGGCCCCCACAATGCATTCCCCAGGCTGCTCACCAAAAGGCCAGGGCTTCGAGTCCACCCAGGGGCACCCAGAAGAAAGGGCTGGCTGGCTGCCTCTTAGCAGCAGCCCTTGAGGCCCCTGTGGGCCAGCTCCGCTCGGACACATGTGGGGACCCTGGAGCAGAGGCTTTTCCACGCAGCAACCAGAAGAGAACAGTGCTAGGCCACCCTCAGAACTGCTGCTGTGTGAGCCCAGGGCTGCAGCCACCGTGTCAGTCCATCTGCTGAGGGACTTCCTCTCTTCCCTGCCCCTCTGCTCTGTCAAGCATGATGGCCTTCTCCAGGGACTGGTCTCTCCTGGTCAGTTTCTCACGGTACCTGAGGCAAAGTCCACTGCTGGTTAAGTTTAAATGCTTCAACTCTATCTTTCTGTTGCCATGCTGTGGAGTCCACTCTGACCCCAGCAACCTTAGAGACCAGAGGCGCGTGGCCCCGAGGGGGTCTGAGGCATCTTAACATGAGCCTTAACCGGAGCCAGCTGCCCACCCCTGGGCTATCAGATAAGCACTTAACCACCGTGCCACCAGGGCACTTAGCAAATGTCAAATGGAAGCCTGCGTACTTTCCATTGGAAAGTGGCCGTCAGGGCAGCGTGTCCTCCGTCTCAGAATTCAGGGATCATTGGGACAGAGATGGGGCCATCTGCTCCAGTATGGACAGACAGCCTTGGACACTGGCGATGTGGTTCTGCCCTGTCCTCTGTGGTGGCCCTGAGTCCCCGCAGGGGCTTCTGGGGAGGCACTGGACCTTTAGAGGGGCTGGCCTCTGTGCCCCTGGCTTCAGTGGAGGCAATTGCTCTTTGTCCCAGGGGGATTCTGGGAGTCCTTCAGAGAGCAGCTGACAGAACAGGGGCTGTGTTCCTTCCACGTGAGACCCACAGGCCGAGCTCCTTGGCAGGTACAGGTCTTTGACGAGCTTGAGACAGGAGCACGTGTGTATGTATGTGGATGTGTGTGTGTGTGTGCATGCATGTAGATGTGTGTGCACGTGTGCGTACAGTGGTGGGGTGTTTCCTGCGTGGGCACAGGGGGCCCAGCTGGGAGGAAGCTGTTGCTGTGTCCGCCCTTGTCTGTCTCCTCCCTCTGAGAGGCAGAGAGGAGCTTCGCCGGTTTCAGAAAGGATCCTTTCCGATTAGAGCTATACATTTTTCATGAGCTGCTGTGTTGGGAAAGCCCGGTGCCCTCGGCATGAGCATTAAAAATAGCACTGAAGAGGCTAGGGAGGAGTGGGCAGAGCCACTCCCTATAGCAGGGGAGGGCAGACGCAGCAGCCACGGCTGGTCCTGGGGC